AGACATACACTAGGCTATATCAGCCCCACCAAAAATATTTTTCACCAGCCGCCACTGCCCTGCACTAACTCTAAGGAAAACCATAGGGGGCCTAATTTATCCTATCCAGGTCTCCAACCATAAAAACTTAGAATTAATTTATTTATTCACCTTAATATTCACTTGTATTACCCTGTTCTCCACCAATGCCTTATGGGTATTTTTTAGACCTAGTTTTTAATAAAAAACTTTAATTTTTAGCACCATACTGGTTTTAATTAATGCTATCTACCAATTCCCCTACTGTAGTTCCCATAATGCTTATTTTCAAGTTACCTTTGTCATGACCTTAAAACAAAACCATGAGTGAAGCAGTAATACCGATAGATGACCCCAGCCCCAATTTAAATCGCCTTTTATGTCATGCCTTTGTCTCACACTTTTTATGTGCGACTTGGGCATGCCATCCTTGACCCTAGAGCTGTGCGGTGTATGGAGCATAGGATCAAGTTCCCCCTCCCCCCGACTTGGACGACACAGGACCCAGATATTCAGCTTTACCTCGGCAGGTCGGTGTAACCTAACTGTGTCAACAACTGACCTGTTTACCGAAGGGTACTGAGTAAGGAGGTGAGTATGCGGCCCCCTTGAGTTCCCCTATTGCAACAATGCACGCAAGGTGTGGCGGTACAGGGCTTAGGACCTTAATCGCAGCCCAGTCTTCCATGGGGGTTAGCCCCGACAACTCACAGCCCACATCCACCGCACACGTTTAATTTGGTTTTTCTTCCCCTTTAAACAACAATTGGACTCCTTCAAATTGTCAATTTTCAAAAAGGATTTAAGATCCCCTAGTCCAGCTTAGGTGACTAGGCCGTGGATGCAACGGGAACTAGGTTGTAGTCAAACATCCCCTAGTCAGCTTAGGTGACTAGGCCGAGGATGCAATGGGACGTACAGTAGGTTCTTTTACAATGCCCAATCGGGTGTTGATCTTGATGGTCTCCTCTTGATGGTCGCATCAACCTTACCTTATTTTTTTACACTAAGGTAATGGGTCCGGCTTGGCCAGACCTTGACAATTGACCTTTCGTAGTTTTTTCTTCTTTTATGCTGTGATTGACTTAGTTTTAGATTTATTCAAACTTAATTGGCTATTGGACACACAGCAGGGACTAATCATCCCTGTCTGGGCCGTCCTTGAGTGAGGGTGTCTAGTGATAATGGCCGAAACACCCAATGATCTTGAGGTTCACTACTGATGATGTGTTCCAAAAATTCCTATTATTTAATTTAGGATATCTTGTAGTATCCTTTCTACCTCTACAAAATGATCGACGCTAACCTTAACCATTTACTCTGACTTTAACCTTATGGAGGAATTTGGATTGTATTTGTGGAATTTGGAGGCTTGTCTACCTTTCTCCACCAGAGGGCGCCTGAGATCTTCCTCCTGAGGGCATGAGCTGACTTCTACAAACCTGTTTTCCATCTGCTCATCATGAGGCCTTTTTAAGGAGGAGGAGGCTGACACTTCCCTGCCAGAGTGTTTGCCAGTAATGGTACCAGCAAAACCTGAGCCAGCTTCTCTGATCTGTTCCTCTGATTTTGTGAACTAGTCTGACCCTGTGTTCTTCTGCCTCTCAGATCCTGACTTATCTGGATATCAGTAAATCCTGGAGAAAACTATCGCTGCCTGGAACCTGCCTGTCTGCCCTCAGCCTCTGCCCTCAGCCTGCCCTCCAGCCTCTGGACCCACAAGGTTCCCCCCTGCTGATCCGAATACCCCCTGAACAGGTATTAATCTTAGCCTCCGTTAAACTGCAAGTTTCCTGGATCCACTCTAACAGATCTGTCCTCCTCTAGTGGCTTCCCTCCGGTGACCAGTCTGACGAGCCAAGACCCTGTGCACATTTTCTTTGTAATCTTTGTAAATAAACCATTTAACTTTTTCCCAGTCTGATAAGTGTTTCTGCATGTGGGTTAGACGCTTATACCCCAACATGACAGTATTGGGACCTGTTAAAGGGCCTCTATCCTATCCTATTCTAAAACTCCATACAACAATTACTTTATTTATTATTTTTTAGAATGTTTTTACTGTGTATATCAGACTAAAGTAAATATACCCTCTAACCCTAACCCTGTCTGAAACCTTTATACCTACCGATGCACAGTGTTCCCTACTCAATAGAGGTCTTACCTTTATTCTAGTTCCACACCGGCCCACAGATCGAGCTCTGACCAGTTTTCAAACCAGGTTCGATATACACAAATGTCACAGAAGAATCAAATTGGCGGTTTACTATGCAGACCAGGAAGAAAACAGTAGCATGGCTGCTAAACAGCCCTTCATGCCAGAATCTGATTGGTCCCCTCCCTTAGGAGCCGTCCCTTCAGAAATTCACGACCTAAAAAGGGGTAATACCCTTTGTCTAAGAGAGCCTCTGGAAATTACCAGCTCCCTTTGCACAGTCAACTGACTCACAGACCAATCAGCCGAATGGAAAGCTGTGATCTCAGCAGGACCAACCCCCCAGCATTATCAGAATTATCATGCCTGATATCCCCTGGAAGCTATCTGAAAGAAGCTTTCTGTCTTCCTGCTATCAGAAGTCACCGACTGCAGTGTATCATGCCTGCTTGCTGATTTGGGTGAGAAAGAGTGGAGCATCCTTCTGCTTGCTGTTTGTGGAATTCCCCTTCGAGGACCCAGTGCCGCAGTCTTATTCATATGGTGATTCGTTAAGGGAAGCCCTCATAACCATAAGTAATTTTCTTGATTAAGCTCATCAGATTTCTATGCTGTTTGCATCAGACTGAGCTAAGATTCTTCAGAGAATTGACTCGGTTTGGAGATGGACTTGTGGAACTGGAACCGGAAGCTGCTCTTGCTCCTCCATCCTCCCTTAACCGGACTGCAAGTCGTCTCCCAGTAAAACCTTTCATTATTCCATCTGATGCTTCAAATGAGGTGCTAAGCTTGAGCAAGCAGGTTAATTAAGGTATTAAAGCGGTTATTTGCTTTCCCTTTTTTCTGAGGTTAGTGTAGTAGAGTAGCTGAGGATCTGTATGCCTTTTGAACTGTATGCAACCCCATGTTAGGAACAGCCATTTTGTGACTTCATAAGTTAAGACTCAATGGACTCTTAGAAACTTGTTTTTCTCTTTCTTTCAAAACTAGTCATTTAGTCCACTTTGTGTTTATTTTCTAATAGCGTGAAGATTTATGTAATCCTTAATTATTAGAATAAAGACATAATTGTTTTAACTTGCAGTTGTTGTGCTTTGTGCGGCAAATGGTTGATCACTCAGGCCAGATTCTGCCTTCTTTTGGTGAAAGTTGAATGAACAGTGATAAATAGTTCTTTGATTAATAATGAATAGCTCTGCTCATAGCCTAGCCTAAGTCACTAAATTGGTGGGAATAACTGAATTATAACAAGGGGTCCAGAAGCCACCTGGATGTGAAAGGCCCAAAATCCTGGTAAGTGAATTGATTACAGTTATAGTTATTCAACTAACCCTAACCCTTGATTTTGCCCCCGATTTTGAATACGTTAAATAACTAACTACAACTCCAGTTCTAGTTAATCACTTATTCATAATCTACAGGATATATTATTGTGTAACAGGCTATAGGCCTAATTTTTTTAATAATGGGGCACTACAGGGAATGGTTGTCAGTGAGAATGCACTTTCAGACCTTTTAGCACTGATTCAGTTCCCCTTACCCTAAACTCTAACCTTTCATCCAACTCTGTGAAAACCATCAGTTGGCAGGGGAAATTCATTAATTTAACTTAATCTAACCACAAAAAGTAGCATGTATATGTTATAGAGTACAAAATGCAACGACATAGAAGAAAAAACACATATAAAGATAAAGAAAACCCATCCCCATTCACACAGTGAAGAAGGACTTGCTCATTTTCCATATGGAAGGTTTCAGACACACAACTTTCTTTTTCTTCCATAGTGCCCTATTATGTGTACGTCCTCCAAGTGCACAGTTCATAGAGTGGCGTATGCTAGCAATAGAGAGGGCCATTAAGCAAGAGAGGAATGGGGTAATATACAAAAATCACTGCTGGACATTGGTCTATGTTGACACAGAGTAAGGGATCTAATACACCTTTTTTAATTGAAATCTTTGAAATAATCATCTGGTATTTCTCATGTGGTGCTTTATAAATTTATATCTACTTTTGTCTGTTATAAGAATAAAAATAGCAAAAAAGTTTAATGGAGATAAGTTTAGCTCAGTGGACATCATATACAGATGCAGCAATTCTAATGAATAACAGTGACAAAATTACCATATGATAAAACGGCACACTAATTAAGTGAAAAAAATTCTATAGTTCCTGGGAAGTCACTTGGAATATGCTTATTTGAGGTGTCAGACACACAACTTTGTTAGGGTTCCAGTTTGTGGGGGTTGTTTTGTGTTCTTTTTTAGTGTCTCCATCCATCCACTAGATGGTGCCCTTGTTTCTCTGTTGGCCTGGATAGCCTCTTCCTGGTGTCAATCACCCACACCTGCAGCTCGTTTGGTCATTACCATCGGAGGAGTATAGCAGTGGACTGTCACCACCACCTCGCCCGAGTGTTTGCCAGTATTGGGTACTTTAGCCTCTCTGAGAGTAGCTGAGTCTAACCTTTTGAGCTTTTGTCTCTCTGGGTTAGGGTTAGTCCAAGGTTCTGACCCTTTGTTCTCCATTGTGGTCTCTGGCAAGATTATTTCCTGATCCACTGGATAAGCCTGGTCCTTAAAGCCTTGGAAGGAATTACTCATCTCTCTGAGATTAAGGAAATCATTCTTCAAAAAAGCTAGTGACAGTCTGCTCCGCTGCTCCTCCGGACCAACATTAGTCTGCCTGTCCGCCCTCCAGCAAAGTAATCTCCACATCTGGACAACCCCCCCACAAACAGGAACCAAGGAGCAACCACAAACAACTACAGTGAGTCCTTATCGGGCTTTACTTCTGTATTGGCCAGTTTATCCCATTGACCTAGAACTCATCATTCTGATCTACCTCTAGAGTTTCCGGTCCGGTTCACCTGACTGCAGGATTACCCCCAAGCTGAGAAACCCATGTTTTGTCTCTCTGAGTTCCACACCATTCAATAAACTGTTAAACTTTTTTCCAGCCTCTGAGTGTGCTTCTGCATGTATGCTAAACATTTAAGAACCCATCATGGCAAACTTTCTTTTTCTCCCAGAGTGCCCTATTATGTGCACTTCCTCCAAGTGCATAGTTCATAGGGCGGCGTAGGCTAGCCATAGAGAGGGCCATAAAGCAAGAGAGGAATGGGGTAATATCCAGTAATCACTCCTGGACATGGGTCTATGTTGAGTCAGAGTTAGGGACCCAAGACTTCTTTTTGAGTGAAATGTTTGAAATATCTTACTGGTATTTCTGAAGTGGTGTTTTATACATTTATATTAACTTTTGTCTGTTATAATAATAAAAACAACAAAAATGTTTAATGGAGATAAGTTTAGCTGAGTGGACATCACAAACAGATGCAGTAATTGTAATAAATAACAGTGACAAAATTATAATGTGATAAACAGCACACTGATTAAATTCAAAACATTTCTATAGTTCCTGGGAAATCACTTTGAAAATAACCTTTTTTGAATATTTTAAACCTTTTTATAACACTTTTTTGTTTCATATGTATTAGATGCATTAGATAAAGTAAATGTAACAAATATTTATTATGGCAAATGATCTCAAACGAGGAAGCAAACCTAAAAAGCACCTGAAGTAGGAGGTGGAGCAACATTGAGGAGGCAGGTTTAAATTCACTTGCGGACCTGAAACTTTGTCAAAGCATCACAAGTGCTGCACTCTATACAACCTTCACAGTAACCAAGTCTAACACTGGTGAGTAAAACTATTGCTATTACATAGTTCTACCATAGGACTCAACACAGCATTAACGTCCATGAAGTCATTTTTGGATTATTTCTGCTGATAAGTAGTGTTTATCCCAACAGCAGTGACTGAAATACAGAGTAAATATGGATAACCTACTGTGTTATGTTTTACCCCCACAAATATGGTCATTAAATCCTCCATCAGTTGGCTATACCTATTGATAAATACAATAGGTGGGACTAATCTAAACCACTAAGAGTTATATATTGGATTTAACAATATTTGAAACAATAAAGGTATCTTGTTGTATAAAATAGTAATTCGTTTTCCGGGTGTTTATGAAGGGTGTATTATAAGGGTCTCAGCGTTTCATGTATATGTAATCTTTATGTTGTTGTAGATATAGATCATGCCAGAAATATGAACCTCTAAATTATTTAATCTCTGTGTGTTATATACTCTGTAGAATTTTATAAATGTTTGCACAGCCTTGTTAGATAAAAGAACAATAATAAAGATTTGCCCCTCCCTTTCTTATAAACCGAAACTTCCAGAAAAACTAGCTCTTAGTCATAGCAGTTAATCATACAATCTTTTATAGTTACAGGTAGGAACAAGTGTGTGAATGTACTAATGATGGGAATTTTTATGAGACACTGTCTGTCAGAAAGCAGATTTCTTTAAAGATAAATTCACTGCCACATGATCCATCTTCAATGAAAACAGATGAGGCATACGTTGTTTTGATGTTTTGTATTGAAATTTGATATATGATATGTGTATGTTATTTTATTTCTGTTTATCTTCAAAGTTTCAAACTACCCATTTTCAGCATTTTGGAAAAGAACATAGATCAGGGTGAGAGAGAGACGACAGCAACACATTGAAGTACCAAGGAACCAATATTATTAACAGACAATATGTTTAGGCTTCAGTACTTTATCAGAACTATTTGCCTTTAAAAATATTCAACAAATGACAGCTGTCTATTAATGTGAAAAAGCATTTGCTATTGTTATTTTATTGAATTATTAGATAAGTATACACTGTGTTGTTTGACTTCTTTAGGAGCTGAGATTATGTCAGAGGACATCTTGGCAACATTGGATAATTTAACTGAGGAGGAGTTGTCCAGATTCAAGTGGTTTCTGCAGCAGCCTGAAATCCTTCCTGGGCTTCCATCTCTCACAACAAAACACCTGGAAAATGCAAAAAGGTTACAGGTTTTGGATGTAATGTTGAAGACCTACACCCTTCAGCAATCTCTTGAGATAACATGTCAGATTCTAAAGAAAATAAACAGGAATGACTTGCAGCAAAGGCTACTTCAGTCTAAGAAGGAAGAATTAAAAAAGAAAGATTCTGAATTTCAGGAAATGATCAAATACAGACAAGGGAAGATTGAGGAGATCCGAGTGTCGATTAAGATCAGTAAAGATGATGAAGACAAACAGAAAGCAGAAGGGGTTGAAGTCTTCACTGCCCTGAAGGAGTCTGTTGTGCGCGGCTTGATGGAACTCATCAATGAGATCGAAGATAAACAGAAAACTGCAGAGAAACAGGCTGAAGACCTCATCAAAGAACTGGAACAGGAAATCTGTGCGCTGCTGAAGAGGAGCTCTGAGGTGAAGCAGCTCTCCCAGTCTAAAGACCACCTCCACTTCCTTCAAAGATTCTCCTCTGTGAAAGCTACTCCACCCACCAAGAGCTGGACAAAAATCAGGGTCCATCCACCATCATATGATGGGCCTGTGGAGAGAGCTGTGGGTCTGCTGGAGGAGAAGATCAAGGAGAAGAGGAAGGAGGCTGAGCTGCGAAGGGTCCGGCAGTATGCAGTGGATGTGACTCTGGATCCTAATACAGCTCATCCTAAACTCATTATTTCTGATGACGGAAAACAAGTGAAACATGGAGACATTTGGAACAATCTTCCAGAAAACCAAGAGAGATTTTCTAACTGTATTGATGTTTTAGGACGTCAGAGTTTCTCTTCAGGTAGATTTTACTTTGAGGTTCAGGTTAAAGGAAAGACTGAGTGGGATATAGGAGTGGCCAGAGAGTCCATCAACAGGAAGGGGGACATAACACTAAGTCCTCAGGATGGTTACTGGGCTCTTTGGTTAAGAAACAGAAATAGGTACCATGCTGGTGCTGAACCCGGGGTCCGTCTCCATCTCCAGTCTAGTCCTGAGAAGGTGGGGGTGTTTGTGGATTATGAGGAGGGTCTGATCTCCTTTTATGATGTCGATACTGCAGCTCTGATTTACTCCTTTACTGGCTGCTGCTTCACTCAGAAACTCTACCCAATCTTCAGTCCCTGTCTCAATGATGGAGGTAAAAACTCTGCTCCTCTGGTCATCTGCCCTGTTAATCATGTCAATGGTTGACCATATGAAGCCCCATTGAGAATGAAGCTGCTGGAACCTCCAACCTAACAGTGTGTAGGTGAAGATTTACTTGGTAGAGATGTGCTTATAAACTTCATCAGCAGGAAATGAGCAGTTTAATTTAACCTATATTTTTCTTTTGGGGATTTTAATGGGGCTGGATTTTTTTTTTCTTAATATGGGTCTGGTTTTTCTGTGCTTTTATAAACTTACATAATTTTTGAAACCAGTTATGAAAATACAACTACCTTTGATCTTCATCGACAGAAACACACCCTAAAATAACAACAAAAATAAATTAGAATTTACAGCAACAGAAGTGATGAAACCTACATGCAAGAATCTACAAAATCTAAACTCTCAATGATTATTTCCATTATTGTTGAATTAACATTCTTGCTTTCTTTAACCATGTTTGACATAAAATGTCTAAATGTCTGAACATCAATTTTAAAGTATTGTATAGTTATGCTATGTTAATTAACTCTATAAAATCTATATATCACAACCTGCGATGCTCTAAACCTGTTACTAATTCTATTATAAATACCATCAGAACTCTGCCATCATCTGTTCATTACAAATATTAAAAGATTGATTATTAAAACAGTATTATTTTTTTGTCTGCACCTGCCCCCTCCCTCCTCTTCTACTGTTTAACTGGAGCCTCTCCCTGCTCTCCTAGCAAAACCTGCTTCACAGGTTATACACAGCCAAAAAAATAAAGGGAAGATCAAAACAATGCGATATAATCAATTAAACTTATGTGAAATAAAACTGTACACTTAGGAAGCAACACTTATTGAAAACCAATTTCACATTCTGTTTTGAAAATTGAATAGACAACAGGTGGAAATTATTAGTAATTAGAAAGACCCACTGAATGAAGGTGTGGTTCACAGACCAATTCACATTACCTATGTTTTGTTAATGATGTTTTGGTCACATTTAAATTTTGCTGGTGCTTTCATACTCGTGGTAGCATGAGGTGGACTCTACAACCATCACAAGTGGCTCAGGTAGTGCAGTTCATTCAGGATTGCATATCAATGCAAGCTGTGGCGAGAAGGTTTGCTTTGTGTCCAGAAGCTTGAGGCCCTACCAGGAGACAGGCAAGTACACTAGGAGACTTGGAGGAGGGCAGTGGGTCAGTAATGGTGCAGGATGGCGTTTCTTTGAAGAGCCCACAACCCTCCATATGCTCGTCAGAGGTAGTATGACTACCATTTGGTACAGATATCAGATCCTTAGACACCTTGTGAGACCAGCTGCTAGTGCAGTTAGCCCTGGGTTCCTTTTAATGCAAGACCATTTTAGACCTCATGAGGCTTCAGTGTAAGCACTTCCTGTAGGATGAAGGCTTTGCAACTATGGACTGCACCCCCAGTTCCCCAGACCTGAATCTGATTAAGTACATCTGGGACATCATGTTTCCACCCATGAACCAATTCACATTGCACTACAGGCTGTCCAGGAGTTGGTAGTTGCTTTAGTCTGTTTATAAAGGCAGAGAAAGGTAAATTCGACCAGCTGTACATGACCTTTTCTGGGTTGTGTCCTTGAGGGTGAGCAGGTGTGTTCAGTTCCACAAATGGCAATGATTTATGGGCCTTTTTCAGAGTTTCAAAAATAGCTTCAGTTTCCCTGGTTTTAACAAATTTCTACTTCCATTTTACCAAGTATTGTACCTCCCTCACTGCCCCAATGATCGCTCTCACCTCTACCAAAGAACTGTTTGACATTGAAAGCTAAATGTACCCCTTAAAGGGGTGATAGAATGATTATATAGGGTAGCTGGTGGTGGTCCTTAAGGTCTCTGAATAGGGTGTGTAACATTGTTTGGGCTGAAAATGGCATATTAGCTGTTCCATGAGCCCTAATGCAACCCTGGTCATAAGCCTCAGAATGAAATGACAGGTTTTCTTCCTTTTATGGTATAATCATGAATATTTAGATGAGCTGTGAGCTGATTGGTTGGTTTACAACAAGCTCTTAAAGATAGGCTCTGTGTATGGACCTTGATGCTCTATCTCTCCATTTTTTTTCCCCTGAAAAGAGATCACTCGAGACAAATTCTTTCAATAACACTTCATAACTTATATGTATTAAATAACCTGGAGACATGGCAAAAGTTTCTGATAGAAGTTGCATTCTTACTCAGATCAGAGAGATTGCTTGGAATGTACAGAAGGCAGCTGCTCACCTCTCAGGAAGCAGCCCTGATTAACAGTTAAAAAGGCATTTTTATACATCTCCAGTCTGCCACACCATTTTATTTTACTTAATAAACATTAGCAGATGATTAGACATCCATGACGCCAGCCTTATCAAAATATGACACTTCATTCTTAGCTGAAGGACACTGCTCTCATTCCATTTCCAATTTTTTGCCACATACAAAATCAAGACTATAATTGCATATTTAGACAGAGGAACTGTCCTAATCAGTTCAGAATTGCAACAGGCAGCCAATATCAAGGTGTAAAAAACTCACACATCTTCAATGATAATTATCCTAACAATTCCCCCTGAAAAGGTGACGTTTTTATTGTCACCCTTACCCCTTGCTCACACTGGCTCCGGTGCGGTTACCGAGCCGACGGACACTGCAACTCCCACACACCCCCTCTCACACTGCCCTTTTGACTACGGTGCGGTGCGGCTCTGCGGCTCCGGCAACAAGTCCGGAGATTTAAACAGAAGTTCACTTGAGTTCAAGTAACTTCATGCGATAACACGGCCCAAAAAAGGATATTTGCGAGAGGTTGTTGCGGAGGGCTCCAGCACGCCGCAAGCATAGCTTTCTTGCTAAATTTTCTGCAGCACCGGAGTGTCTCGGTAACCGCAGCCGGACAGCTCAGCAGCCGGTGAAAGAGGTTTACGTGTTTTTAATGACTTGGAATCACTGCGGCGCCACACCCACCGCACCGCAACGGTAAGACCGGAGTCGGTGTGAGCCGGGGGTTAAACAAACCCCTTAATATCTGCTCATGACCAGGACATTAATCATAGAAGAAAACTTTAAGTGCTGTTTTTTCAACATCATAGAATAATGAAATAAGCAATCAACAGTCCCCCTGATGATGTATCATTAATGAGGGATCAAAAGTAATCACAATCATAACCTCACAGACCAAATTTTGTCATTCAAGACCACAGTTTCAGCATTGAACTACAATTTGGGTTTCATCTAATTAAAGGAAGGCTGTTTTAGTTTCCTATGCACACATAATTTTTATTTACTTTAGACCAGGTAAGCTAAGCCTATAACTCTAGTAAATTCAAATTAATCTACTCTCATTTCCACCTGGAGTCCTCCTAAATGTGACCGCTCATCATGGATAAACCATCCATCCAAATTTACCAATCATTCAGTTATATTGGGGGATGTCACAGGACAGGCTGGGTCATTCTTCACTGGAAAACCGTAGCTTCTCTAAATGTCAGTAAAACCCAGGTTGACCCCAGGGAAATCCCACTATCGGACAATCTGAGCAAAGAAACCCGTTTTGAATCTGACAATTATCATTACCAACTAATTAAAGAACCTTTAAGCCAATCAGGTTCTGAGTCTTATTTCTTTAATTTCAATTCAGTTTATTTCTATAGCACCAATTCACAACACATGCCATCTCCAGGCACTTTACAGTTCACCAGATCATACTGTCAAATTGATTTGACTGGCTGGATTAGATTTTTGTTTTCTAAGGAAAACCAGTTGATTGCATGGACTCATTGACTCTTCAGCAATCCCTCACACTAAGCATGCTTGTAGCAACAGTAGAGAGGAAAAACTCCCTTTTAACAGAAAGAAACCTCCAGCAGAACCAGGCTCAGTGTGAGCGGCCATCTGCTGAGGCCGACTGGGGTTTAAGGAGACAGAAGCAGAGATACAAAACGCAGCTGTAAAAGGCGGCCCCGTCCAGGAAACACAGCCAGGCAGACGAGCTCCAAGCCAACTCCTATGTCAGAGGATGAAGAGAGCACATCTTGACAGTCACAGAGAAACAGGACTATACTGGAAAACAAGCCAATCTCCAACATCTATACCCAAGGGTGTTGATGGCAGCAGCATAGCTGATATTTCTCTTCAGGATGGAGTCACAGCCAAACAGGAACAGACCAGATGAAGCTACTATGAGAAAAAGGAGAGATTGAACTAACAGATTCTGCAGAGTGGGAGAATAGAGATAGAATAAAGCAGGATAATGAAATGGGGGTCCCTATGTCCTCCAGAAGTCTAAGCCGATAGCAGCATAACTATAGAGATAGCTCAGGATAACCTGAGCCACTCTAACTATAAGCTTTATCAAAAAGGAAAGTTTTAAGCCTAGCCTTAAAAGTAGACAAGGTGTCTGCCTCACGGACTAAAACTGGTAGTTGGTTCCACAGGGGAGGAGCCTGATAACTAAAAGATCTGCCTCCCATTCTACTTTTAGAAATTCTAGGAACCACTAGTAAACCTGCAGATTGAGAGCGAAGTGCTCTGTTAGGAACATAAGGAACAATCAGATCTCTGATATCAGATGGAGCTGGGCCATTTAAGGCTTTATATGTGAGAAGGAGGATTTTAAATTCTATTCTGGATTTAACAGGAAGCCAATGAAGAGAAGCCAGGATAGGAGAGATGTGATCTCTCTTTTTAATTTTCATCAGAACTCTGGCTGCAGCATTTTGGATCAGCTGAAGGCTTTTAACTACAGCTTGTGGACTTCCTGATAGTAAAGAATTACAATAGTCCAGCCTTGAAGTAACAAATGCATGGACTAGTTTCTCAGCATCACCCCTGGACAGGAGATTTCAAATTTTTTGGAATATTATGCAGATGAAAGAAGGAAATTCTAACCAACTGGATCTAACATACAAGTTGAAGGCTTAGATGAAGACAATAGTTTTGCTAACTCTGAAAGCTCAACTGGATCAAGGCAGTCCAAACCTGGTTCAGATTCCATGACTACCTCAGATGCTGCCCCACCCTCCAGAGTCAAATAGATAGATGA